CTCCCGCTGCTGGGGCTGGGGCGAGTGGGTCCCCAAGGACAGTCAGCACTCGAGGGGACAGTCCCAGCGGCACAGCGTGCCGTGTCCCCCCCAGCCCTGGGCACAAACTCGCCCTGCTGCCTGCGGGGCTGGATCAGGCCCTGCTGAAGGCCTCCAGCCCCGGTGTGAGGAGGGTGAGGATGGTGTGAGCCGTGGCCCAGCCTGGGGGACCACTGGAAGCCCAGCCACCCCAGCACTCAGCAGCAGGGACCTCCATGGCCGAGCTCTCCTCGGGGCAAATAACCGTGTCAAAATAGGCAGGACAGGGAGGTTTGAACCCGCTGCTTTCTGCCAGCTCAGGGACCGCTGCCCTCTGCTTTGGGGGTGGTTTTCAGGGAAAACGGACGAGAACATCACAAACTGGTAAAAGCATCCACACTTTGGGATGAAGCACAAGCCGCTTCCTAGCAATGGGAGTGAGCAAAAGTGGGACCCGGCCCCTCACCCTTGCTGTTTCCGTCGCAGCTCCGGGTCAGGAACCCGGTGCCAGCAGGCATTTGGGCTCCTCGGACTCAGCTGTTGCATCCTCGTGCATGGGTTATCGCCCTGTGTCCCCCCGCACGCGTGGCCCTGCCCATGTGCCGGTGGCTTGTGGGCTCACCCCGTCAGCTGGCTCGGAAATTAGCCTCCATCAAGTTAATTGCCAAACCGCTCAAAGCCTGAAATTAAACATTAAAGCTGTCGCTCGCAGGCGCAGAGCAATCTTCCCCCCAGCCCCAGCAAAAGGCAATTCTAGCTGTCCAAGCAGAGGGAAGATGGATTCCCTGGATCAGGGCAGCACTGGCATCGGGATGGAGCTGCCGGTGATGGTCCCTGCGGGTGCTACGGTACAAGTCCCCAGCATGGCCCAGGACTCCGCTGCTGCCGGGCTGGGCAAACTCCAAGCCGCAGACGGTCCCTTTCTCCGAGGTTTCCTTCCTCTGGTACCGAAAGGGCTGAATGTGCCTGTGAGAACCTTCCTGAGACAAAGTTTGCTCAAATCCTGGCTCTCCTTGGCTCTGCAGGGTGGGATCCTCCGAGGGGGACCCTGGGGTCTCGCAGTGCTGAGTGATGTGGCCCAGCCCTGCTCCCCGAGGACAGACATAACCCTTTTTCTTCGTCTCCTGCTTGGAAAAATATCGCCTGAAGCAATAGTGGGGTCTGCCAGGGTGTCTCCAGGATCTGACCGGCTTCTCCTTGGCCTTGCAGTGATGGGCTGTCCCGGAGGGGAAATGCATCCTGAATGGGGCTGAGGCCCCCTGCGCGGGAATATGCAGCCTCGGCACCGCAGGGGCAGCACCAGGGCAGCGGCCGGCGCGCGGCGGCATGGTGGCAACCTTCAAGATCGCCGTGCTGGGAGCCCAGGGCGTGGGCAAGAGTGCCATAGTCCGGCAGTTCCTCTACAACGAGTTCAGCGAGGTCTGCGTGCCCACCACGGCCCGCCGCGTCTACCTGCCCGCCGTCGTCATGAACGGCCACGTCCACGACCTGCAGATCATGGACTTCCCCCCCATCACCGCCTTCCCCGTCAACACCCTGCAGGTAGGGGCGCAACCGGCTCGGTGCGATGGGACCCCCACGTTGGGGGGTCTCCGGTGACCTCAGTGGGGTTTCGCTGCATAACCCTGTGGGGTCCCGGTTCCTCCTCTTCGGGGGATGCTTCTCCCTCCACGTCGGGGTTTGCTCACTAAAAGCCAGTGCGAGGGATTGCACCCTCATGGCTACTGGCTGAGCGGGCCCAGGATAAAGTGTCTTTTAAAGGTTTTTCACCTAAAATGACAGCAAACATGGGAGGGACAGCATCCCACTCTGAGGACCATGGCTCTGGTGATGCCCATGGTCCTGTCCAGCTGGGCGGTGGATCCTGGAGCACTGGGATCCAGTTCCATGGCTGTCGGAGCCGGCGCCAGCAAAGGGCTGGGGGAGCATTTGGGTGAAAACCAGGGGTTCCTGGAGAGCCAGACCCTGATGCACCCTCTGCCCAAGCCAGGGGCTGCTTGTCCCCTCCCGGGGTGGCCACTCACCTCCTCAGCATTGCCTGGGCTTGTTCCAGGAGCACTGAGCCCACCAGCTCCTCCTCAAACCCCCAACGCTCTCGGGTGCTTCCAAAAGAGCCCCAAAAGGCAGCGTGGGGTTGGAAAGCAGTGCCGACCGCTTCGGAAGGGTTTAACGGGGAGAAAGGGGATTTTCAGCTCATGCCATAGCCCCATCCCAGGGGCACAAGTTGTGCCACTTTTTTTTGGAGGGCCCCAGCCGTGGCTGCAGCCGGAGGGCAATGCCACCGGCGGGGGCACCTCCGCGGGAGCTGGGCTCTCTTGTATTTTTAATCAATGTAATTATATTGCTCCCCTGCCCAATGGGGACGGGGTTATAGGGGCCTTGTAGTGCTCCAAGTTTCCCCTGTGCCGTCGCGCAGGAGGTGAGGTGAGCGCTCCGGGGGCCAGGAGGAGGTTTAAAAATTAATCGGTGTGTGCAGGGAACGAAAGGTCAGGGCGAGGAGACAGCCCGAAACAGCAAAGGGCAATTTATTGACACGGCAGCTGACGCTAACATACTCGATTAACTCCCCGGGGGGAGGCAGCCGCTGGGAGCAGATGGAGGATTCCAGGGAAGAGAGGATGGTCAGAGGGATGGCTCCGAGGGGAAAGGAGAGGACCGCGGTGGGGGATACGGCTCTGTCCGCTGGGAAGCATCACTGGGCTGCCCAGGAGCAGCACCCCTGCGGCGATGTCCTGGGAGAGGAGCGGGGGCCGGCGGCTCCCTGATATCCCGCTCCTGCATGGGGCCAGGCGGGATGCACAGCACGATCCTCTTCCAGCCCCAAGCATCCCGGGAAACCTGCCCCGGGCAGGGAAAACCATCCCGACATCACGGTGCCCACAGCAAGCTGCACCCCAGTGCGGTGAAATAGCTGCAATTTATTAATCTCCCAGGTATATCAGGACTCAGAGTAACCTGAGACACTGCCACTTCATCCCCCTGCATCTCTCTGATCCCCCTCTTCCTCTCTGGAGCTACACACCATCTCCTCCCCTCCGTGGACGGGAGACGGGCTGCGACCTGCACCCCAAAACTTTCCTTTTCCCAGTTTCCTCCAGTCCTAGGCCTTCTCGTTTTGCCTCATTCCGATGACAAACTCAGAAAGGGTTGATTCACGGTGCTGAAGAGTTTGCTCGGGGAGAAGTGATGCCTTTCCTCCTTGGTGCATCTTTCTCCTCTCGGGTGGCACTCAG